GCCTACCATTGAGGTCGGATAGTAGATAAGCTCTTGGGCGGAGTAACTTCAAGACTTTGTACGAACCTTTCCAATTCGGCTCGAGTCCTCCGACATGCTGCATTACCTTCTTGAGGACGATTCTCCAGGCTTCAACGTTCGGACTCTCACTCTGGCGTTGTAGTACCGAGCCATACGGTTCTAATATTCTGCTAGCCTGAGTTGGGAATGAGATATTTTCTCCTCGAGTAGGTCAAGATTCACGAGTAGAGCTTCGTTGTTGCTTTGCTCATCTAAATTCTCAACTCGGAGCGTCGACATGTCGATCTCCACGGGAACGATAGCCTCCGACTCGAAAGTTAGGTCCTATGGCGTCTCGTCAGTAGATCGGTGCGGCGTAGTTCAGTAGGACCACGTGGGCTGAGTTGACTGAATCTCCATTATTTCACGTTGGTCTATGGACGATTCAGCAAGTATCTCAACTGCCACCGTTTTCGGTAGGTCGGCTTCGTAGGCCGAGGCTAGGCAAGCCAATGCGTCAGAGTTGGAATTCTCTGACCTCGGCACTTGTCGAATTACATACTCTTCGAGCTGGGCAAGCAGCTCCCGAGCTTTGGCCAGATATCTTTCCATGCGAGCATCCTTCACTTGATACTCCTCGGTCACTTGGTTGACGATAAATTGCGAATCACTAAAAGACGTCTCAAGCCCATTCCTCTTGCAATCCTCAGTCCATTTATCAATGTCTCGTACTCGGCTTCATTGTTGGAAGCTCGGAAACTAAACCAGAGTGCATACTCAAATTGGAGATCACCGAGGTCGAGGAGCAGCATGCCTGCCCCACAGCCCTTCTCGTTGGATGAGCCATCTACGTAAAGAGTCCATTGGTCACGGGCGTTGGCCCCCAGCCTGGCCGGAGTTAGCTCGGCAACGAAGTTTGCGGCTGCCTGACCCTTTAACGCTGTCCTGGACTCGAAGGTGATGGCATGCTCATTGAGCTCCAGGGCCCACTTCATCAGCCGATCTGACGTTTCGAGCTTGTAGAAAATCTGCCTCAAAAGGAAGTTTATCAAAACAACTATCTTATGCACCTGGAAATACAGTCGCAGACGAGGCGCCGACGTCACCAATGCCAAAGCTAGTTTCTCGACACAGGGGTAGTGAGCTTCGCCTCAATCATTGATTTGCTTGTGTAGTAAACAGGACTCTGCCGCCCTTCTGCCTCCCTGATAATGACTGAGCTCACTGCATTTTCTGACACAGCCAAGTACAGGTAGAGAACGTTGCCAGGCAACGGCTTGGAAAACAACGGGGCCGAGCTGAGGTACTGCTTTAGTTGCTGAAAAGGGTACTTGCAAGCATCGGTCCATTCAAACCGACCTGTTTTCCTTAATGTTTGGAAAAAGGGAAGGCTCTTGTCAGTGGAGTGGGACACGAAGCGGTTCAGAGCTGCTGGTGACCATTCAGCTTTAGGAGTTGCTTAATATTCCTCGGTGCCTCCATCTTGAGGACTGCTTTTATTTTTTCCGGATTGGCTTAAATTCTGTGCTCGTGGACCATGAAACTGAGGAACTTTCCCGATGAAACCCCAAAGGCGCACTTGCTTGGGTTGAACTTGATTTGATACTTCCGAAGTACGCTGAAGGCCTCTACTAGGTCGGCCAAATGCGAGCTCGTCTGCTTGCTCTTTACCAACATGTCGTCCACATACACCTCTATGTTGCGCCTGATCTGCTTGGCGAATATCATGTTAACCATCCGCTGGTAAGTCGCCCCGGCATTCTTCAGACCAAAGGGCATGACGTTGTAGCAATACAATCGTTGGTTGGTAACAAATGAAGTGTGCTCTTGGTCAAGTGTGTGTATCCGAATCTGATTGTACCCGGAGTAGGCGTCCATGAAGGAGAGTAGCTTGTGCCCTGCCGTAGCGTCGACGAGCTAATCTATTCGAGGTAGGGGAAAGCTGTCTTTTAGACACGCGTTGTTGAGGCTTGTAAAGTCAATACAGACACGCCACTTGCCATTAGACTTTTTAACTAAAACAACATTTGAGAGCCACGCGGGGTAATGAACTTCTCTTATGAATTTAGCTCGTAGCAACTGTTCCACCTCTTTACAAATTATATTGCTTCGCTCAGCATCGACAGGCCGACACTTTTGCATTACAGGCCTATAGTTAGGGTCTACATTAAGCCTATGCACCATTATACTTGGGTCGATACTCGGCATGTCGTCATGGGACCATGCAAACACGTCAACATTGCTTTCAGAAACTCGACGAGCTCTTCCTTTGCCTTGGTCCCCAGTCTACTACCGACGCTGACTTGCTTATCCAACCCCAACAAAGGGACAAGCTTCAGTTCTTCTGCTGGCATGCCACGATTGAGCTCTGCCTCGTCGGTGTAGACACCGTATTTGGTCCGGCTTTATTTTAGTTTTAGTTTTAATTATTTAATTTTTATTTTATTAAATACTATGGGATTACTTTATTATTGGTTATAAGCTAAAGTTTAAATTAAATTAAAAAAAATAAATTTTGTTTTAAAGAATTTGATTTAATATTAAAATAAAAGAAATAAAAAGATTTTATTTTATTTATATAATTTTGTTTTAAATAAATTTAGATTCTGTTTTGGTTAAAAATAAACATTTTGTTTTTCCTCCCGTTTTTCCTTGGTCAAAACCGAACGTTTTCCCTTCCCTCTTTTTCTCTGGTTTTTCTTGACTCACACATGTTACTGTTATTTTTTTGGTATATTTAAAGGACACACAACACACAATGGAGAAAAAATAGAGAGCACACAGAAGAATGATTTGGGTAAAGAAAATTTTTTATTTTTTCCCTTAGTCTTTGAAAGCGGTTTAATAGAACCAACACACAACATGACTCTGGTGAACACCTCACGACCTCCATTGCTGCCTTGAGACCATCCTCCGGTGATTGACCGACGACGACCAAGAGTCCAGCGACCCACTCTAACACGACGAACGACATCCATGGTAAAAATCTTTGCACAGTATACCCCTACATTTCTTTTAATAATAAAAAAAGTTTATTTTTAACAAAAAAATAAAAAATTTCCTTTTAAAGAAAATAAACTTTTTAAAATAAGTTTTGAAAAATAATGTAGATAATTTTTTTTAAAGTAAAATAAAATAATTTTTAAATAAAGTAACAAAAAGTTAATTTCATTTAAATAAAAGATTTTGCATTAAAGTTTTGTAAGTTAAAAATAATAATAATAAGAGTTTTATAAACTAAATCTTTTAAAAATAAATTCGATTCTTTAAAATTTCCATTCAAAAGTTCTTAATTTTGTTTTCTTAATTTTTTATTTATTTTTAGAAAGAGAATTTCTGCTGTAGAGATTTAAAAAATAGAGGATTTACAGAAAATTGTTTTCTAGGATTTGTTTTAATCTTGTAACATTTGTAATTTACAATAAGTTGTTAGGAGAATGAAATCTTTTTGTAAATGATGATTATCATTTTAGAAAAGATCTTAACAATTTGTTTTAAGTAAAATTGATTTTTTTTTAATTGGAAATGAAAGATTTTTTTGAAAAAATCTTTTTAATGTCAAAATACATAAAAAAATTATTTTTTTTGTTTAAATTTAACAAAATTCGTTTTTTTTAGTTTAAAAATTAAATTAGAACTTTTGTTTTTGTAAAAGAGTACAATGTTTACTTCTTAGGGTGTTGACATAGTGGTAAGATGTTTGGTTTTTAATATACAGACACAAGTTCGAGTTTTTGCATGCCTCTTTTTATTGTTTTTACTAAATAATTATTTTAAATAAAAGATTTCGTTTAGAGTTTTTTCCTTTTTTTTTAAACAAAATTTAAAAATAGAAAGTTTGTATTTTCAAAAAGAACATAGATTATATCCTAAGGTGGTGGCACATTGGTGAGATGTTTAAATGTTAATGCTTAACACACAAGCTCAAGTCTCAATGTGCCTTAAATTAAATTTTTTTTGTTATTATTTTTTTTACTAAATAATTATTTTGAAAACTCCAATGACGGGAATTGGAACCCTCCAATTTACTCGAGGTGCTTAATTTTTCTAATGGCCTTCGTGTCACTCATACATATTAATTCATATCTTATAATAAGGTGTGAATTAATATAACATGGGACATTTCGATCAAAACAAAAATATTTTTTTTCTTGGACCAAATAAAATAATAGGATAATTTATGATAGAATGTGGTACCATTTTCGAACGGGTGTTGTAGGGTACTAACACCTTCCCTACGCTCAGTCGACTCCCGAACCAACAATCTGTTTTCGCAGACCTTGTCTTTATTTTTAGGTGACCAATCACACCTCGTAGATGATTGGTGGCGACTCCAAACCCTTATCTCGAAAGAGACCCTTCAGGGGATGACGTCGGACGCTCCGCGTCGCGATGACGTTGCGACAGTCGGTACATGGTGGTGCAGTTGCTTCAAGTTCCATGACTGCTGCATGAGTGGTTGTTCTCTTCATTGCGGCTGCGTAGCATTCTCTTGATGTTTTTTGCTCACCTCGGACTGTCGCAATTCTGGCCGAGGTGAGTACTTCAAGACCTGGTGGTAAGTGGATGCAACTGCTCTGAGGTCATGAACCAAGTATGGCGCTGTATCCTGAGCTTCGATCTATCACGACAAACTCGGTGACTCTGGTTACTTGCTGACTTCCTTCGTCGATAGTGACAGGGAGCGAGATACACCCTTCCGCACCGATTGACTCCTCTGCAAAGCCAACCAGAGGTGTCGGGCTGTGCTTCAGGTGCTTCCTCTCCCACTCCAATGCTGTGTAGGTCGAGAAGGATAAGATATTAGCCGACGCTCCACCGTCGATAAGAACCCTTCTGACCTTCACGTGATATATTAGCGGGGCAATTACTAGGGTGTCATTATGGGGCATGTGCACTCCTTCGTCGTCCTGGTCATAAAATAAGATCGGCACAACGGGCTCTCTCGGGTACGAGGTGCAGACTTCGTGCGTGGCTTCCCGGGCTAGGGCTTTCCTCTTCTACCCAGACTTCCTCCCGCTCGGACCCCCGTGAATGGTGTTTATTACCGCAGGACGATCTTCCTTTCGTCCAGGCGGCTGTGATCTTTCTCTCTTCTCCTCCCGAGTTGATCCCTCTGGCTTAGCTCGTTCTCTGCTGCCGACATACTTCTTTAAATAACCTCTTCGGATCAAATCCTTGACTTGCTCCTTTAGATGGAAACAACGAGAACTATTGTGGCCATGATCCTTATGGAATCGGCAGTAGAGTCGCTTATCTCGCTTTCCCGAAGGTCGGTGAAGCTTTTTCGGGGCTGTGAAGAGTGCCTTCATGTCGGTATTTTCAACTGTTGCATAAATCTCCGCGACCGAGGCGTTCAACGGGGTAAACTTATCGAACTTTGGCCCCCAACGATCTGAAGAGCCCCTCTCGTCACACTGGCCTCTACTCCTGTCGTCGACAGCTTGCCGAGACGAACTCTGGTCATCACTATGTCGCTTCTTGGGAGGGGAAGACCTCTGGTCCCGATCTTTACCACGGCTGCTTCGCCTGGCTCCTTTGGCCTTCCACAACTCCAAGCCATCAATATACTGGCGAGCTCGGGCAAGCATTTTGTTCAGTGAGGCCGGCGGACGACTTCCGAACTCGATCGTCAAGTTTCTGTCATTTAATCCCGTTGTGAAGTACATCATGGCGATATCGTCAGTGCAACTCACCACCTTGACATGCTCGTCCATTAACCGAGCGATGTACTCCGTAAGAGACTCATTGTCTCGTTGCTTTACTGTTTCGAGATGGGAAGGCGGCAACTTCAACAACTGCCGAGCTGAAAACTGATTGATGAACAACCTTCTCAACTGTTGATAACTGTCGATTGAYCGAGGCTTCAACTGTTGGTACCACAACCTCACTGACCCTTCTAGAGCTATTTGGAATGCTCGGCACTTTATGGCGTCGCTCGCAGCCAAAAAATCCATCTTCCCCTCGAACACCTCCACATACGAGACGGGATTGC